CATGTCTGGATGCGAATGGGAAATGCCAGATGGAGCTCCACCCAAACGTCCGTAAGGCTCCGCCTCCCCGCTTCGTCCCAAGGGGGCCCAAGGGGCCCAAGGGGCGCATCGCAAGTTGAATCCAGGAAACGGAAAAGCGCCAGTCACCGGCCCCCCCACTTAAGCGAAATAACACGTCATGAAACTTGGGTGGGTGAGCCCGCGGAGGTCGCTGACTGGAGTTCGCAGGGGCTGGGAATGCGCGCCCTCAGCGTATGCTGACCGTTTACTGTTTGTCGGCTTCCCGTAAAAGCGTAGAAGTAGCAGTCGTGGCTGCTGTCTGTGATGCAGTCATCGTCATGCATGGCGAAGGCAAGTCACTCTGCGAGAATGATTGATAAAGAATTCCTGGAACCTAATACACCTGGAATGTCATGACTTTTCTCCTGCATCAGGCCACCAACATCTGTCGTAGGCACTGATGGGCACATGGGCTAACAACACGCCGATTAACATGGGACCCGGAATGTTCCTGCCACTGGCTCAGCCGCTCGTAGAAACAGTCAAAAGTCATGAGGTCACCCGAAACAAAAACTACTCGAGACTGCCCATCCCGACATTCTTGAAGGATGGATTTGTGTTGAGGCATTGCCGACGTATCAACAACATCGGGCCACGTGAAGAGGTTGGACAAGGACCATCCATCTCCGTGCTTGAGCACGTACCCAGAGGCACCAGCGACAAACGACGACTTGGCGGCATCGAGGATTGGACCGACATGCCGACCGTCCGACCGTCCGACCTCGTCTCCGCGGAGGCATGGAGGGGTATATCAAGTATATATCCAGGTTACGGAGGGACGACAGGACACTCATAGCCAGCATATCATCACTATACGCAAAAGAATCGTCGACAATATGTCAGGGTCACTACCATCCGTGATGAGAGCATGGCAATATTCCAGCACCAAAGGTGGACTCGAGAAGAACCTCCGCCTCAACGAGTCTGCCCCGGTACCCCAGCCCTCGTCTAACCAGCACCTGGTGCAAATATTGGCGACGGCACTCAACCCTGTCGACTTCAAACCTGCCGAGATTCGGCTTCTCAGTCACTTTGCCATTCCAAAGCCAGCAACTCCTGGCATTGATGTAAGAATTTTCTCCCGCGGCGTGCTTTGTCGCCAAAGACGCAGCACCTATTTATTCGCTGCACCCATCTCCGGGAAATGCTAACGAATACACAGTTCGCAGGCACATTGATTACCCCGGCTGCTGGATCGTCTCTGAAACCCGGCCAACTGGTCTTCGGAGCATCGGGGACATCACACTTGGCCGGCGGGAGCCTGGCTGAATACGCCGTCGCCAAGGAGGACCAAGTCGTGGCGATTCCAGAGGGCGTAGACCCAATATCTGCATCGACAGTCTGCGTCGCAGGACTGACAGCGCACCAATCGATCGTCCCCTACGTCAAGGCGGGGGATAAGATCTTCATCAACGGCGGCTCCGGTGGGACCGGCGTCTTTGGCATCCAGATCGCAAAAGCCGTCGGGTGTCACGTCACGACGACCTGCTCCAGCGTCAACGTCGACCTCTGCAAAAGTCTCGGCGCCGACGCCGTCATCGACTACAGGACGCAGAACGTGGTGGACGCTCTGAAAGCGAGTGGGCTCAAATTCGACCATGTCGTCGACAACATCGGCGCAAACTCTCAGCTGTACTGGAAATGCCACGAATACACCCGTCCCGGAGCCTTGTTCATGATAGTCGGGGCACAGATCAATCGCGCCTTCATCCTGGACATGCTGCTGAGAAAGGTGTGGCCCGGCTTCCTGGGAGGCGGGAAGCGACAGTCTGTCGGGTTTTTTCCTAAGCCGAAACCATCGGACCTGGAACAGATTGCGACCTGGATGAAAGAGGGCAAAGTGAAGGCCGTGGTCGATGAGAAGTTCCCTTTTGAGCGGGCACCGCAGGCGATTGAGAAGTTGAAGACAGGCCGTGCAAAGGGGAAGATTGTGGTTGAGGTCGCTTCGCATGGCTCCAATTGAGATTCACATCTCCGTCCCGTCCCTCTTAATCTGTTGCAGGGGGCGTTGTATACTAATATAAGGACATCGCAGTCGATAATTGAGAGTATACCCATATAGTGGGATTAGCGAATGTCATGTCGTCTTTCATATCCCTTGCTCGTGCTCGAGCTCGATCGCAGTTGAGCAGCAGCTTCACGGCCCCTTGGAACTGCCCCGTTATATCAGGTCGCCTTCGGGTTGTCCAGCCGTCATTATTAGTCGAGGAAACGATCGAATCTGTTCTCAAACGATTGTGAATTCTCTGACACCTCCATCGCGAAACAGGCGAAGACACTCTCTGTAGCTATCCATCTCCATTCCACCAAGGTAGAAACATCCAACCCGGCGGTATGTTCCGCCAGGAAGACTCTCAAGCACCAGGCCTTTAATCGAGCCTTGATTCCTGCACCGACATTTAGAGTTGGCTTTGCCCGTTCTCCTATCTCCGGAAGCCACTATCAGAAACAGAACCGGCAGGGTGGCTTTGACCTCGAGGCTGAGGTCGATGGGTGCTCGATCATGCTCCATTCTGGCGACATATTTCCTATTAGCTTTGGAATCGCAAATGGAAACCCGCGAGGCAAAGCGCGAGCTGTCTTGGTTGCTACCCCAAACAGTCTCGATGGCCGTGCCGGCTACGCGAAGGAAGCCCGAGGACAGTGCGCCATATGGGGCGTGCTTGTACAGAGGTTCGAGGTGACAGTGCAGGACTCGGAAGTTTTCATCGAGGGTTCGTGTATATACAGTGTCCACCCACGCATTCAACGAAGCCCATGACCATGACGGCGCGATGTACTTGCTGTGAGGAGTCTCGGGTTCATGTTTCCAGTGTTCAATCCTGGTCCACATTAGCGAATGTGCGAGAGTGCTGCTCCAAAACCCAGCTTTGTAGTCGTCGCCAAGGATCGTGCCAAACTGCTTCGCGATACCGCCGAGGGCGAGGAGTCTGTCTTCAGCAACGCCGATGGTACGCGCAGTGTACTGCTGGACAATGTCGCTCCAGAGGTCGCGAAAGGCCGTCATTGGCGGCTTCGTCAGTTTCCCACCTTTTGATTTCTCGTACAGCTCCGAAATATGCTTCGACTTCAAGTCATCGCGTACCGTGTTTAGAGTATTTAGGCCATCCCAACCATCGGTGAAGGCATATCGGTCACTCTCGACAGATTGGCAGCAAATCCAGCGAGTGTTGACCGCTCCAAAGTCGAGAATCCGAGGAGACAGTAGACGCTCTTGGTATGCCCATGCTCTGAAATCCAACGGCTCATCGGGCCTATTGAAGTCAGGTCCGAGAACGATGGATCCAGTCTGGCCATCTGCGAGACGATACGGTAGCTCAAAGAGCTCTCTGGATCCCGTAGGCCACGGATCTGGCCGATCCGCGAGAAACCCGGCTTGCGCGGTCACAGCCCGAGAGGCTGCAACTGTGACGGTGGCGTTGGTGTAGACCTTATCCATGGTAGCAATTTCCGTTGCCTTGTCGTGTTCGTCGTCTTGCAGAATGCACAAAGCGTCAATCCACAGCAGTGTCAGACCTAAGCTGTTCACGGCTCGCACCACATCTTGCAGAGTTTGTGGCAAGTCGTCCGCGTCAATACCAGCGGCGTGCCTGGCCAGGTTCGTCGACGAGGTCTTGAGGTTCTTGTCCGGTCCCCAGCAATATGAGAGAGCTGCGTATGCACCCGGAGAGATTTTATTTGAGTTACAGAGCTTGAGTCTGAATTTCCCGTTGATTTTGCCAATCTCGAGCAGCCTTGTGGGCATAAAGTGCGGGTCAGGACGACGGCAAGCCTGATGTCTATCAAGACAAGTCGACATCCAGCTTTTGTACAAGTCAAATGCTGTATCTGACGCCGGGTAATGGTTGATTTCCAGGTTGGCAATCTTGCCAAGGGCAGGATTTCCTTCGACGGTCAGCCTTGAGGTAGATATTTGCTTGGTGATGACATTACCTTTCCTTGTCATTGGAGAACAGGATGAATTCTCGAATTTCACAAAGGTCGGGTACGGTTGAGGCAGCCACTGCTCGTTCCTCGTTCTTTCCCATAACATTGCAGTCGCTGGCAGGGATTTTACGTCAGGAGAACACTCGTAGAGTGCACCAAACTCGATATGAACCGGGCACAAATAGTACTTTGTAACTTTGGCCGCAATCATGAACTTCTTGTTCGCCAACTCTGCGTCTTGAGCGGCGTGAGAGATCAGAAATGCGGCGAACGAACAGCCATCATCTGATGCTTTCTGCAGTTCTGCCGTTGAGATATAAAATGGAGACAGAGGCTCAAAATGGCTCATGTATGGAGCAGAGGGCGCTTTTGGATCCAGGCCGAGGAATTCTCGCACTCTGTCCTCGGTTCCCGCGACATCAGGGGTGATTGTTGCAAACGACTGGCAATGTCTGCAGGAATGAGGTAGGCGAGAGAAAGTGCTACTAGTTATCATCTAGCCCTTTGAAACGCAAGTCCGGTCTGTGTCAAGAGCTGGCAAAGAATTTTCAGATAGAAGTGGTCCAAAGCTCTGGAGAAATGGTGACTTGCTGAGATGGGGTTTTGGGATCTCGGCCGAGTCGAGCGTGGACAGAGCGGAACAGAAGAGGTATGGCGAATGTGTCTGCAACAAGCGACGGCACAATTCAGCTGGTAAAGGAGTGGTTGAAGGATGATGACAAGGCTGAAGGTAGAGAGCTGTGGACGGGCCGAGGCTGAAGCCACAGCCCTCAGCATTACATAAGCAGCACCACCAACTGTTCCCAGGACGGATGCCTTGTCTTGGCATATGGAATTCAGGCTGCCGTCAGCCTAATCGTCTTCCCTTAACAACAATCACCGATGCCCATCAAAGAAATCCTATCAGCTCATGCGCTGAACACGTACAGCAAACGAGACAGCTCGTCGGGATGTACCCTACATATGGTTGAGCATCAGTGATCTCCCTGTAGGGCGACCTCACCTCCCTTGACATGAATCCGGGGCAACTTCCCCTGCATCTGCAGATTACCCATCTGCGGGAGATTCTTGCATCCAACTCATCACTCATGACTGTGCTCGCTCGTGCCGCAGCCCTCAATCTGCCAAACTGGTACCTTGCTGGCGGCGCAGTGTCTCAGACAATCTGGAACACCGTTTCAAAGCTCCCACCAGAGACGGGGATCCTCGACTACGATCTCGTCTATTATGAAAATTCCGACTTATCATACGAGGCGGAAGACCTAGCCATACAGGTCGGGAAGCGTCACTTTGCCGATGTGCCTGTCGAGGTGGAAATCCGAAACCAGGCACGTGTTCATCTATGGTATGAACAGAAGTATGGTGTCACGTGTCAACCACATGCAAGTGTTGAGGCCGGAATCGACACATGGATATCAACAAGTGCCATGCTAGGGGTGAGAATAGACGAGGCGGGCGAGTGGATCGTGTACGCCCCTCGTGGGTTATCCGACTTTTTCAACATGGTGGTGAGGCCTAATCCAGTCTTGGGGACGAGAGAAGCATATGAGAAGAAGGTGAATCGGTGGAAGACAATCTGGCCAAAGCTTGTAGCCGAGCCTTGGCCGGTGGAAAGCTGGCCGGTTCCCTAGCAGAGGTGGCGAGTGCAGGCGGCTGGAAGCCTTGGGCCAGGCTGACCCCAGTTCATTCTCGCCAGCCTGAGCTTGCCACCAAGGAAAAGAGTTCCAATCCGGTATACCGAGATAAATATCAGGAGATGGTGGCGTCGGCCGTTGATGCAGAGTATGCAGCAAAGCCCGGGCCCATGGACCCTGAAGCGACCCCCGAGTCAAAGATCCGACAGCGCATTGCCCAATCAAGCCAACATGTTGCTACTTGACCAGGAGCCCCTGCTGTTTGCTGCAGGAAGAGCGTGGCTGGCAGTTTGACTATGCCAGCTACGCCTACCGAGTACCCCAAACACGGTTCACTCGGAAGAAATACGGTCAGGAGAGAGAGGTGGGCACGGAGAAATACCGAAGATGACAAGATTGGCGAATGTGCCCGACTGGGCGTGGAGGTATAGCCATGGGTGAGGATGGCGAAGAGAATGGTTGAATGACCTTCATGGTCCCGACACTAAGGTTGTCCATGCTGCAGTGGCCACTACCTTCAACCAGATCCAACCAGAGAAGGGGAGATTACCCACCTAACAGTTGAATGATTAACCGTTCCCAGGCCGGTGCGCGGTCCAGCCCTGCCACGCATGTCGCAGACTTCTAGGCCCGATGTCTACAAGCACCCCGTTTGGGAAGACGAACCTTCCTGGCGCGATTTACACCATGCCTTGTTGCACAGCAGGACACAATCTGGACTGCATTCAAAAGCTCGACCCCGACCATAAGGTGTCGAGACCATGTTCCCTTGGGCCTTTGAGGCGGGAGAGCTTCGATTCGCGAAATTGCTTACCCCGACAGCAAAGGCCAAGAGACTGTTGTACCACCGCTCCCGACGGCCAAGCAGCGCCTACTTACGTTCTACCGAGGATAATAGCTGTTTTGAGAGAAGGCAGACTCTCGCCACAGTCTAGTGGACCTCCTTTTCCCACTCAGAAACAAGTGCTCCACCGGCTGTTAAGCTGAGGAAGCGTGGGATCCTGTCAGAAGAGTCGGGCCACCCTGAGTCAGGGCTGCGCTATTCGTCGAAACAAGACCACCAAGGCCCAGGCTTAAACATCACTTTGATGATATCTGCCCAACTAGGTATACCGAGCGACAAGGGCGGGAACGCTGTCAAACTTCTGGCTAACCCCGGCCAACCAATACCAGTTTCCCCGCAATCATCCTTCCTCTCCAGCTTTACCCCGCGAGTTTTGTGGCGTCCAATCATTTGTATATACAACCGAGGGGTCCCATTACCTCGGACTTGAGGGCAACTAGGACAGGGCGCATCTGCTAGTATACAGGCAGTTCTATAAAGATCAAGCGGTGCATTGCCTTTTCAATCTCGTGGTCCCTTTTGAACCAAGTCCATTTAGTCCGTGAGCCCAAAGCGCGTGGTGCAAGATGACACATTTCAACAAGTGAGCAACACCCAGCAGTGTCTCTGACTCCATCTAATCCATTCACAGGCTCAACATCTGGTCGATCATCATTCTCTCCTTTGGAGCTTTCTTCTACGGCTATGACTCGGGCCTGACCACCTCTATTCTGGGATATCCTCAGTTCATATCCTACTTCAACTTCAATTCCAACACCATTGGAGCTCTAGGATCATGTTACTACGCAGGTAGCTTCTTTGGTTCTGGCTTGAACTTTTGGCTTCCCGATCGATATGGCCGGAAGCCCACCATCTACATCGCCTGCGTTGTGTGAGTTTTCCCAAGTTGCGGTGGTTGTGCAGTTGTCGCTAACGACCCCCTAGGGCTATAATTGGAGCCATCCTTCAAACTGCCGCCCAGAACATTGAGATGCTCTTCGTCGGCCGCGTAATAGGAGGAATTGCAAGTGGCATTGTCTTTGGCGTGTGCCCGATGTTCATGTCCGAAATCTCTCCTCCGGAATTCCGCGGGAGAGTTGGTGGTCTTTATAACTTGAATATCAACCTGGGCTACACACGTGAGTTTTTCCTTGCAGATTCCCAAGGTCAATTCCCCGTTTCCTGACATGTGTGCCAGTCACCGAATGGATGGGTCTTGGCTTCAGCTACATCAGCTCCGATGTCGCCTGGCGATTGTTCTTGGGGTTGCAGCATGTTCCGCCCGTTTTGATGGCCGCCTGCGTCCCTCTGCTGCCAGAATCGCCCAGATTTCTCATCATGAGAGGACGCTACGACGAGGCACTGGAAGTCATTACGAAGCTCCATGGTGCCCCCGGAGTAGATGACGACTTCTACATCCGAGAATTCAACCAGATCAAAGCGCAGCACGAGCTCGAAGTCCGCGAACGCGTGGGCATCCGTACCGTTCTTCGCAAACCGTCGTACCGCAAGCGGATGTTCATCGTGGTCTTCCAGTTCGCTTTCGCCATGTTTACAGGTATCATCCCGCTCCAGAACTACCAGTTCATCCTGTACACCTACCTCGGCGTCACCAACAAGACGGCACTTGTCATGGTCGGTGTCTGGGGCACTTGCGGCGTCATCTTCTGCACTATCGGTGCTCTGCTGTTTGACAAGCTTGGCCGCCGAGTGTCTCTGCTGATATCTCTGTGGGTGCAATTCCTGGCATCGATCGCCATGGTTATCTGTAAGTTCCCACTGCGTTGGTCAGTATCTAGGCCGGAACTGCATCACTAATGGATTGGCTAGTCTGGGCACGATTCCAACTCTCCGGAAACACCAATATGCTCCTCGGTCGCTTCACTGTCGGCTTCATGTTTGTCTACCTTATTGGCTACGCTTTCATCATGAACGCATTCGGTATGTCTTGTACCATTGTTCGTCCATTCCAGTCCCGCTAATGAGTACGCAGGATACACATACCCGTCGGAAATCATGCCGACGCCGATCCGCGCCGCCGGCAACGCCGTGGCGTTCTGCACCTTCAACGCCATCACGATCATGCTGGTCCAAGTCACGCCGATCGCGGTCGAGAAAATCGCGTGGCGCTATTTCCTCATCTTCATCATCACCGACGCCATCTTCATCACGGTGGTGTACCTGGTCTACCCGGAGACGGTCGGCAAGACTCTGGAGGAAATTGCGGCGCTGTTCGGCGACGAAGTGGCGGTCGATATCCACGAGGCGCACCATTACCCGGATACGGTAGAGACGAAAGGCGAAAAGGCTACTACCGAGGTGACCGAGGCCGAGAGAGTCGAAGACGTGGGCGGCGACAAGGGCCACAGTCACTCCCAGTAGGAAGCGAGCCAAGGCGCTCCGGTTTACTACCGACTCTCCAGTTTTATCACCCGCGAGATAGACGTAGCAAACTCGGTCTAAAAAAAACAAAAACAAAAATCCATCTTGGGACGCCGTCTCGTTCCCAGACCATTTTGGCTTCACTCTTGCTTCTCGTATCTTGAGTCTCGGCGGTCCCCCCAAGGTACCTAAGAAGATGCCGAAGAACCGGGGTCATTATTCATGTCAACGAGCGGCTAAACAGGCGGCGTAGAACATCTTCCACGGGCCTAGGTAACTGGCGCTTAACGCGAGGAAGAAGTCTCGACGAGTTGTAAAAAAAAAAATGTGCTCCTCGACGGGGGATGTACCCAGTGTGCCGGGACATGTCACCTAGATAGACCTACGCAACACACACAGGATATGTATGGACTCGTACCCAGTAGTCAGTAATGCAGAGCACAATTCGGTCAGCCTGCCAGCCAGCCGGTCGGACAGCATCATCCCCTGTTACCTGTTTACCTGTTTACTGCCTGGATGTTTACCTACTTGTGCCCATACGCCTTCCTTATCCTTCAAAAGCCCACTACACAGCATTGCTCTAGGCGCGGCTTTACGGACTTTGAGTCCCGCACCCCTTGTCCACCCCGACAAGATACAAGGGGTACACAAGCTCTCGGTTTTGTTACCGAGTCCTTGTAACCCCCCAAACCGACCCTGCACTACACTACACTACGCTACGCTGCCCTACCCTACCTTAGCCTACCCTGCGAGGAGAGACAGAGAGAGAGAGAGAGTGTGTGTGTGTGTGTGTGAGGGAATCAAGAAACCCAACATTCTCCAAAATTCCCCAACCTCGACCCATTGAAAGTCTTGACTTGTGCTCGCGAGCATGGGCGGCGGCCCGGACGCAAAAGAAGCGAGTCGAGTCGTTCGGTTATCCCAAGTCGGTTACGGTGGTGGGAGAAATTAATAATTAATACGAGCTATGTACGAGGTAGGTACGAGGTACCGAGTACCGGGTACATGGATACAGATAAGGATTTGCCGAAGTAAAGAGTGAGTGAGCACATGTAAGCTAAAGCGGTGAGTGATTCTCCCGGGGGATACTTGAAGAAGTTAGGAGGACACGAGGACACGAGGAGCGCTGGGTGGTGGCCGGGTTAGGGTTCAGGTGGTCTATCTCACACTCTCACACTCACTCACTTACTTACACACACGCACAATGTTGAAGGCGTCGAGCATGAGAGTTACTGTATTTGAACTTGTAGGTCGGTAGGTAGGTAGCTACGACTGACGATGACTAGAACCGGAATACCTCGTCCTTTTCTTATTACCTCGTCTTTGCCTTGTGGCGCGATCCCGCCTGGACTGCCCATTCCCAGAAGTCATCTACATATTCATATGTATCGAGCGAATAACACTGATTCCACTCCTGGAATGTATGCGATATGGACAAGATGTATTTGTCCTTCAGACCTCAGTCGCAAGGACAAGCAAGAAGCAACAAGGAGTCTGTTTTCCTTCTGTGTTTAGTCTTCGTTACCTGCCCCTAGAGGTTTAACAGATAGACAGACCTTCAAGGGAAAGATGACGGTTCATATATCCCTGATCTGCTCTCCATCAGTCCTTTTTTTTTTTTTCAAATCTTGCATGCCGCGAACATGTCCAGTGCAGTTCTGAGAAGCGCAGCTTACCTCGAAGACAGGGAGTGTCACCCGGAAACGATCATGTCGACCGGAATATTCCGTCTCGACAGCCAGGGTCGATCTGTACAGACATGCTCTTGCGCCCGGCATTGCATAGTCTACGCCACAGCCCTACACGAAGCGCAGGTCGTTGCCGACAGACAGGCCCGAGCGGACTATCCCTATCCCGCCCCAAAACTCCTCTAAGAGGTCCTTATCATCGTTCTTTTTGACAAAGGCAAAGGACAGCAAGGGTTTTTTTTGTTGGTGTCTATATCACCCCAGGCAGGTATTGGGGCCCCCTTTTGGATCCGGCCCGATGTCTCTGGATATGGGACTTGCTGCTACGAAGCAAGGATGGCGTTTTGTACCA